TGCTGATTACAGTGTTATTAAACTTTAGACATTCAAATGTTTGTAAGCAACTGAAAAAAAGCACAAATGTCAGGGCATGTCAAAACTTGTACAGGCCCCAAAACACCCTCGGACCCCAGAGGGTTAACATCTCATCCGAAGGACGGTGCTTTTTGACAGTATAGTGTCCCCATCACTATACTAGGCCTTAGGACCCACGTAGACCACAGGGTGAGGACCCCCTGCTGGCCTCACTAACACCTCTTCCAACAGCAACCTAGTTTTCCCAGGAGGTCTCCCATCCAGGTACTGACCAGGCTCAACCCTGCTTAGCTTCAGTGGGCAACCAGTCTTGGGCTGCAGGGTGATATGGCTGTGGCATGTGCAGTCCCAAGCGCGAGTGTCAGGACGTGATGGCTTTACCAATTGCCGGGTGGCTCTTTCTGCCATATTGTGCATTGCATTTTCTCCCATTTATAGTAATATGACTGAACCGTCTTGGTAGTACAGTGTTCCCATTAGTCAGTCAAACAAAGAGTCCTGACCCAAACTTGCGCCATTGGTAGAATCAGTGTTGCTAATATTGGGCAGATTGTGATGCTTAAACAAACAGATCAGTGTTTTCTTTGCTGTACAGTGTCTGTTGTGTACACTTTTTGTCAACCTACGAATTGCTTACTTATAGATCTCTGCTAGGATACAAGAATGTATTACAACATAAAAAAAAAAAAACATGAATTTGATCCTCTCAGCACCGCATACACTGTGTCTTGTAATGTCTTACATAATAAATGACAACATTATATGGCATTCTTAATGAGACATGTAAAACAAAGCAATGATTTTTCTACATGTTGAGGCTATTAAATGATGAGGAAATAAAACAATTACTACATACTCAGGTATCTCAGGTTATTAACTGTTCAACATTTATTTGATCTGGCTGGTAGCCCAGTGTCTTCTCTGACGCATAATCGTTTAGTTCAGCTGGGCATTAGCTGGTTTCCTGATTCAGAACTTGCTGCTCCCATGGCAGCCATTCTTAAGTTAATCTTCTGACGATTTGCATGCAAAATTCTTTCAAAAGAGATGAAAGCAGAAGTTCCATCCAACCAGACCTTTGGTAAAGTAATCTCTCAATTTAGGAGCAATCGGTATTGTTCCCCTGATTCATTATCTTTGTGTAATAATTCATAATCCCTGACAAAGAATGTCTTTTCTCATAGCATCAATATTTAACCAAGCACTGCTTTTTCTGATAATGACCGAGTCCGAGTTAAGCCTCAATTGTCTGATTCTATTTTCTATAAAACAGACAATATGACAGCAATGTCAAGCATTTCAGCAGGATATGGATCATCATTCTTGGAATGTCAAGACTTGGAAACAGTTAAGGATGCATGGATTTAGCCTGGGTTTGTGAGATTTTGCTTCAGATTCAATATAATGTGATCATTTACTGAAATCCTCAATGTCAACAGAAAAGAGAGCTCTTTTGAAGGCGGCTAGAAAGTCATGTGATTTTAATGAAACTCCTGCTGTCTCCTGCTGAGCACGTCTCTCCAGTGACCCTCTCTCCACCTCTCCTCTAGTTGCACATGCCTAGACCTTTGACTATATGACGAAAGAGACTGTCATTTAGGGGTGGGTTTCTCTCAAAAATACAACAAAACATACTGAAAAAGTGGGAAAACTGCAGAAATTATGTATTGACTTGATACCCGTGTTTAAAATATGTCCATCCAAAACTATTAAGTACAGACGATTTCACTGGCCTGACTCAATATATCATTCTGCTCCTGAATAAATATATTCAATGATCTGATGCTAAAAACGTGGCAAATTCTGATAATTTCTTCCTCAAAACAAAAAAAACAAAGATCAGATCAGATTAAAGGCTTGCCAGTTTGAAAGAGAGTATCTCACAAAAAGACTAGATAATTAAAAGATAATTTCCTTCTATTTTAATTGTTACAGTGTAAACAAGCAGAAAACATAACTTTTGAGGGTTAGTAGGTAACACTAATGAAGGAAGTGATACTGCCGCGCCGCTCTGTGCAAATTATGATTTATAACCTTATTTCCTGCAATGCTGTTATTCTTCATCGTATCATGTAACAATTTCAGATACCTGCATGAAATGTATTAAGCTGAAAGGAAAACAGCTCAAGGGGTGTCATTGTAGTGGAATACATTCGGGGCATGTTTTGAAGTCCTGTATAATGAACAGCCCTCATCTTTGAAAGCGTCATACTGAAAACATTTTAATGAGCAAACACTCGCTGTAAGAGAGAAATGCAGCTGATGAGGTCAGACTTTAGAAACCAACTTTGTCCAAGGAAATCGGCTACTGGGAAAATAGCCTTGTGTCGATGATCAGATAGGAGGTACACCACAAACTGGGAATTTAAGTCCTCCGGATAGTTTTATACATAACAGCCGGACTTAATATGAGTAAGCAATTATAAATGTTGTCTATGTACTTGCTTAAGCACTCAGCTCGAGGGAATCCAGACGACCTACAGGGGGGCTGACAGGTACATTCCTATCTAAAAATACTGGGAGCTATAACACCGTGCAAAATCTGTGCCCTCCGTAAGCCATTTTAGTGAGATAACAGCACGCTTTCTGGGACGGAAGGAATGAGACAGCCAAGATTTTTTTCTGCTGTCATATGCAAAACAGTTCTATCTCTGTCTCTCTCTTTTTTCTGTCACTCCTCTCCTGTCTCGCTTCTACTCTCTCCTCCTCTTTCCTGTCCCGTATCCCAGCCTGTCTCTATGGTAACAGAGCTCTCTCCAGCAGAGGAATATTCTTATGCAGGCTGGAAGGCTGGAAATAGGTCAGTGCTGAGAACCTGTTGGAGATTTTAAGGCGAGGTGGAGTCTTCCACACTACAAAGCTGTCCTGTATAGCAAACGAGGACTAAGTGGGCCAGGACAGCCTATAGTGCGTGAGAGTTGATGGCTGGCCCATTCTAGCAAACTCATCCAGGACTGCCCATTCCATTGATATATCACTGGCTGTTTAATTGGCTATGACAGTGTGGTTTTTATTAGCTGTGCTGCTCCTGGAAAAGGCAGCACTCCCCAGTGCCCTCATGTCTAGTGAGTCATGCCTGCATACAGAACTTCAATAATAGAGCTCAGACAAGCCCGCTTGTTGCTCCTGCAGCCAACATAGAAACAAATGCATGCTCGCCACGGAAAACTTGGGAGCATTTATAAAGCAGGCTTTATGGCAAAACTTGGGAGTAATTATAAAACAGGCTTTATGACACATACACAAAACTATTAAAGATATACTCTGGGTAAATGTATATTATCATACTTTAAAAAGCCAACCTTACCAGTGGCATACCACTAATCTTAGAACCATGAGACGGGGCCCTGCCCACAAGTGATGACATCATGCAGTAAAGTTTGCATTGGGTGTTGAATTAGTTTTGCAAATTTTTAATTTAATTTATTTTTTAAAGTGTATATCTGACTGTTACAGCAGGTCCAAAACTGGTTATAGTGTTGGAGATGTATACGTCATTATCTTAACTACCGTATTGGCCCGAATATAAGACGACCCTGATTATAAGACGACCCCCCCTTTTTCCAGATGTACCTTTTGGAAAAAGGCTTTTTAAAAACCAAATCTTGTTTTTTCTCAGTAAAACACATTTTGTCTTCAATTATTTTCATATTGCATATTTTTCCTATTTTAATTTTTGTTTTGAAATGTAACTTATAATCACTCTGTAAAAATGTGACTATGTTTTTAAAGCGCCCACTCACATCATTCATTTTAATTTGTCTTTTTGACATTAGTTTGAAATTAGTTGAAAGTGGGTTGGAACCGGGCCATGAGAGTCAATAGTTGAATTGCTTTGCATTTTCATGATTTCCTAAAAAGAACTAGCTCATAAGAATAATTTGTTTATGAATCAGTCTAAAAACTATTCATTACAAAGAACCCGCTAATAATAGTGAATTGTTTATCAATCACTCAAACTATTCACTAAAAAGAAGCAATTTAAAAGAGTCATTTGTTTGTGAATTTGTATACACTGGTTGAATGCATGTTTGTTTTTGCAGGTCAATAGAAAGACATTTAATGTCATTATTTTTTGATACATAACATTTTAATTGCATCACATTGAACACAGACTGCGCACTCACATTCACAATTCAGATATGAAATATCATTTATTTTACTGTGATGCTGAAGATTTGGAGGTGGTGGTATAGATTCAGCAGCGGGGGAGCGTTGCTGCTGAAAAGTGGTCCAGGCAAACAAGCAAACAATTAAATAAATCTTTATATAATGAACCTGGAGAAAACTTCTTGTCTTGAATTCAGATCTAATATGCAGTAGGAGAAACAGAAAAAAATGACAAGTGTAAGAATGGCCACTGCCTTGGGGGTTGTGTGGCAGGAGTGGTTGTTTAAAACTACAGATTAGCACATAAATCAGAGGACAGAGAGAGCAGACAGTGTCACCGACCAGAACTGACTCATGGACACCACCAAAAAAAAAGTTTCATTTCATTAATGCATTCCATCCCTCAGAGATAACAAACTAGAGTTTAATCCATCGGGTTAATCCATTGGCTAGGACTATGCATAAGCATTAAATAATTAGCATTAAGCTCATTGACCTGTAGCAAATGAATGTTGCTAACTAACCTTCTCACTGACTCCCTCTCTGAGCTGTCTACTTCCTGGAGATGTTGGTAGGCAGGACCAGAATCTCTTGCTCCACCAATGGCATTGAGACATCCTCTGGTTATGGGTGGTGTTCTGCGAGATGCAGGCCGAAAAGCAGAATGACTCCTCTGATCTGGACTATGAGAGAGGGAACCACTCCTGTAAAACAAAATACACATATCACACCTGGATTACTTGATTTGTATTTTTGTGTTATTGCTCGGGTCATTTTGATCCCCAAGGAGAAATGATACACATCTGACAAGTGCATGTTTACTGAGGGATAAATAATAATATGCTGTGGGGCTTTGATTAAAAGCAGAATTAAAAGCATCAGAAAACAAATGAATAATAATAATATTATTATTATTATCATTTTATATTATTATTATTATTATCATTATTAACTATTAATATGTTCTTTTTTGAAATTTTTTTTATACATTACTGGGGACTTTAAAAAAAACTACAAACAAACAAAACAAAACGAATACATAGATAAATAAATAAGCAAATAAATAATCCAATAATGTTGATATTTTATATACTTTTACAGCTGCCTCTATTCTGATGGTGATAAATATACAGTATATATATAATATATATAAGCACACGTGACTCAGAACAAAGCAAAGCCACTATACCGATTTCTCTCAAGAGATTTTCTGTCCCATTCCATGGCATTCTTATGTTAGAAATACTTTACACTCTCATTTTCTCTTTGTCTCTATCTTGTGTGCTGAATGTTTTACAAAGCAGGACATGTTTTCATAAAGCTCGCTGAGAAAGGCACTGGGAATAAACAGTACTCAGGAATGCAGTCTTTAGTTTACACACCTGCAGACTTCATTAAAAAATGATTTACTAGATATATTTCCTCTATCATTAAAAAATGGAGCACAATACCAATGAGTCACCTTGTTCCCAATTAGATATTTATGTGATACTGCTGGGCAAACTACGGGGAGATGTTGTACATATACGTTACCACTGAATGGGGCCACATTAACATAGAGATTAATTGACCTATCAGACCGCTGGCAGTAAGGAGCACACATTTGAGTATTTGGTAAAAATAGCCTGAAGAGGAATTCATGCTTGATTTTAGATAAGTCTCCAACAGAGCGATAATTCACTGCATATTTAAATCCTTCCTTACCCTGAGTCAAGAGCAATCAGTTAGATTGTGATGATCATTTGACGACACGAGCAGTTGGGGAGGGGTGGGACAGGGGGCAAAAGGCTGTTTGCAAACAAATTACATGTCATCACAGAAAAAAATAAAATACATATATATGATTGCAAGAGTGCACTGAGCCACAAACAAAAACAGAGAGTGGAATCAGGGCTTAACTTTTAGATTGAGGAATGCATGAGGATTAAACAAGTCTGAAAGGCTTTGTGTCTCTGCTATTACAGACCATTCCCACCCCTCCATAAACCCCCCAACACACCACAACTCTTATCCACACATGGACAAGCCATCATTTAAAATCAACTCAAGACCTCTGGCTTTTATTTTGGTAACAGCACTACAAGCGCTTCCCTGCCGTAACACCGCATCGCGAGACTCCAGA